TTACTGCACCTTTAGTTCCTTCAACCTGACACATGCGGCAAGCAGCTGAAGCCATTCCTGCTCCTCCAACCCCAAGCAGCGCACCAGGACCAGCCGTTTGAGCTGTCCAAAAATAGCAGCTCGAGCAGTGGACTGAAAAGACATTGGCTGAATGCTTGAGCTTGGGCCAGGGGAAGGGGAGAAGAGGCAAGAGGCGGAGGAGGAAGATGAGTGGCGAGAAGTGGAAGGTGGGAGGGAGGAGAGATACATGAGAGGAGATGCAGAGGGAGGTGTTGTAGGCAGCCACGAGACAAAGGGAGTGGGGGAGAAATAGAGCCCCTGGAGGGTTAAGGAATCTAAGCGAGGGCAGAATACGTGCACGGGAACTGCCGCCTCCCCTGCTGCCGCCTCCCCTGCTGCCGCACCCAGCACTGGTTGCGGCAGAGTGGCCGCACCCAAGGAAGCGTCGAGATGGCGCAGGAAATGCAAGCTTTCACGCACGGCTACACGCTGCTCCCTCAGCTCCTGCATCAGTGGCCTCACCATGCCCAACACCTCTTCACGTGTCTCCACCGCACCGGACCGCACCCCACCCAGCGCACTCTCAGGCAAGCGGTCATCAGCAAGCACGCCATCCATGCCCCTAGCTTCATCCCCTTCCTCCTCCCCATCCATGTCCTGTTCTCCAAATCTCAACTGTGTAGAAAAAAGTCCTGCGGCCTGGCCAGCAACAATAGGGGCGTTGGAGTCAGCAGCAGCTGCATTTGAACTAGCAGCAGCTGTATTTGAATAAGCAGCAGCAGCAGCGAATGCCCTCATCAGCCTTTCTTCCCACACAAAAGCCGCCTTCGACTCGCGAACCGCCCGGCAAAATGACCGGCACGCCGAAATCCCAGACCTGATATTCCCGAGGCAGGCAGCAATCCGAGCCACCGTGATCTCTCCCTCTGCACGCGCCGCCCAGCGGGCGTCAGATTGGGCGATCCGAAGGGCTTCTTCAGCAGCATCGAAGAAATTGATTGCGCTTTGTGTTGCCGCAAACTTGTCCGCCTGAGCCGCCACTGCCTCTGTGCGAAAGTCCACGTATCTCCCACTGCCCCCTGCTGCTGCCCTGCATGCTATCCGTGATGCCGCAGCAGCTGCTGCGGCTGCAGAACCACCCGCATTTCCTTTCTCCCACCCTTCCGTTCCAACCTCCCCTCCTGCCTCCCGTCCTGCCTCCCCTCCTGCCCGTCCCCCCGCAACCCCGATCCGCTCCACCCGCACGAGCATACTCACAAGGCCGTCCAGAGACACATCCCGCGGAAATTGCCGCCCCGGAGGATCTATCACCGCTTCCACACTCAGCGAGCTCAGACCCCTGCAGTCTGCAAGCAGGCCCGGGCGGACGCAGGGTAGGCCGGCGAGGTGGAGGGACCGGAGCTGGGAGGAGCAGCGAGCGAGCAGAGAACAGAGGCCCTGTGCTCCGAACAGACGGTAGGTGGTTTCGTGGAGGGTGAGGGAGGAGAGAGCGGGGTTGGCTTGGAGGATGGGGATGAGGGAGCGGGAGGAGATGAGTGGGCAGGAGTGGATGGTGAGGTGGGTGAGTGAGTGGAGGGAGCGTGAGAGGGAGTGGATGGAGCGTGAGAAGGAGTGGAGTTCGTTTGGATCAATGGTGCAGGAGTGGAGGGAGAGGGAGGAGAGGGAAGGAAAGAGGGCGAGGGATGCGAGGGAGCCCTGAAGTTGGGCGGAGTGAATGGTGAGGGACGAGAGGGACGTGCGGAGAGAGGATGGCGGGGAGGACGCAACTGAAGAGGTGGATGAGGAGGCAAGGGGGGAGGAGGAGAAGGCAAGAGACGAGAGAGAGGAGGACTCAGGGCTCCAGAGAGTGAGGGAGGTGAGGGAGGAGCAGCGGGTAATGGGGAGTAAGTCGGAGGGAACGTAGAGGAGAGAGAGGGACTGCAGTGAGGGGAATAGGTGCAGGGGGGGGAGTGACGGCTGCCGTGTGTAGGAGCGCTGATAGCGTGAGTTTAGCTCCAGCGAGGTCAAGAGCCTGAAGGAAAGGTAAAGGGGCGGGCGTCGAGGGGTTAAGAGAGAGGTGTGCAGAGGGAGGGCTGAAGAGGGAGGGGTGAGGGAAGAGGATGAGGTGAAGGAGAGACGGACGGACGGACGGACGGACGGACGGGTGGACGGATGGATGGATGGATAAATGGATGGATGCATGCATGCACGCACGCATGCATGCATGCATGAATGGATGGATGTGGATGAATAGACTGGCCACAAGGTTCCGTGGGAGAGAAGGGTAACGGAAATGTCTGTTTACGGGCAGAGCTTCGCGAGCTTTCCTTTCTTGAGATGCCTTCCCACCGTGAGCGACGACGACCAAGAGGAACAACGGAACCGTCTACTTACGGGCAGTTCTTCGTGAGATTTCGCCACGCTCGATCGTTGACGTCGAAACCATTCCAGCCCCACACCAATTTCAGCTTTTCCAATTTCGGGCAACCCGCTGCGATCCCCGCCATCAGCTGATTCCCGAGCCCGTATGAAATCTCCACGGTCAGATCCGTTATGTGGGTGAATACCCTTGAATAATCGTCAAACGCTTTCAGCCATTGTCGCAGATTCACAACCCTTCGACGCAAAGAGTAGTACTCGAGGCGGAGCGCGTGCGGCGTGCGTCGAGAGAGGCGGCGGAGGCGGGAGCAGGAGAGAGCGACGTTGCGGCGATCGGATGGGTGAACTGCGAGGCCGAGAATGATTTGGAGGAGCTCGTCGGGGAGAGATAGAAGCCTGCTGTTGCCGGCGCGATCGCTTCTTTTCGCCATCGCGAGCTGATCGTTCACTTAGCTAATTGCCTTTTGAGACCTGAAAACACTCCGCGTGGTAACATCTGTAACCTCAAAACGCTTCTAAGTGACACGTGCAATTTCAGGAAAAATCCAGCTCGAAACACGTGTCACCTCTAACGCAGCCATCAGATTATATAAGAAACCCAGGACTCGTCGGAGCGAGAGAGGCAGAACCGATCAGGCTGTTGCTGATTCACAGCACCGATGTAGGGTGGACAAAACATGACCGTTGAAGGCAATGGATTTGTGCTCATGGCAGAGCAGACAGAAGATTACAAACGAAGTGATATTACTGGAGAAAGAGGCGGGAAAGCTGGGACATGCTCTGATTGGGTGGAACTGGAGAGCCTGCCATCCGAACCGAACCCAACTGAACCAGGAGGTTTTTGAAACGAAACTGAACAGATCCAATTACCAACGAGGGGTCAGGTCACCGATCTGACTACTTCTGAAAACTACTCACCTGCTACGGTACCCATTCAAAAACTGTTGTCGCCGAATTCCACCTCTCTATGACTCACCCTGACCTGACCCCGAGAGCAGATCTGCGGGGATGAGTTGGCGACGGCTACTCTGTCGCAGGGACGGAGCAGACCTGAAACGAACCATCTGGTTGGGGTCGCCGCGTCGCAAATCTGGTGTTAGGACCCAGCAGCATGCTTCAGACGGCTTGCGGGGAAATGAGTCAGCTTTTACAGGGTATGACAATTATGAGTCACGTGCTTTTTCCCGAAAACGCCATGGCTTCCGCTCTGATCCATCAGCAACAGCCAGATTTCTGACACCTCGGGAATGATCTGCCCGAAAAGCTCGTTGCTCCGTCACAGAAACGTTTATTTTTAGGTTGAAGACATGACTGAGTATTTTAGCATTGTCAGTGAAGCTGACATTCAATTGACACAAATGAGCTAGTGTCGCGAAACTTCCGGAATTAGGAACTCTGGAGGCAACAGAAACTAGATTGTATGGGATACTGATATTCAGGATACAGCTGAACCAGTACCAGCACAGACCTTTGACATTCCAAACTGAGCCGATAACTAGACAACGTGTCGTCATAGTAGGTGCACTTTGACGACTCTCCGAGAGGTGTCGCCAGTTTTCAGCCCCCTTTGCAAATTCTCATCAGTTCTCAGCCATGGATCGGGGAGCTTCTCGATACCAGAGTGATCTGAATCGACCTCTGGCCAACCTCCAAAGCTCCTCCGGCAATCCCTATGGACCGTCCGGCTATTCCCAGGGCTCCTCGGGTTACCCTAACTCGCAGGGATTTGCAGCAGGCTCCGCTGGTCAGCACTACGGTATGGTCGGGAGGGTTGAGGGAGGCGGGGTGGGAGGTGCAAACCCTAGCATGGCTGCACCCGTGTCCCCGTTCCAGAGTGCGTACGGCCAGCAGGTGCAGGCACAGCAGGTGGAGCAGCAGGTGCAGCAGCAGCAGGATTCCAATCAGCTGAGGTACCAATATGTGAACCAGCAGCAATTGCAGCAGAGCCAGCAGCAGGAGCACCAACGGCAGTACCAACAACAGCAACAGCAACAGCAACAGCAGCAACAGCAACAGCAGCAGGAGCACCTTCAGCAGCAGCAGCAGCAGCAGGTTGGGTCCGGAGCTGTGGCGATGCAGGACGCCAACGCCTTGTGGGAGCGGATTGAAGGGCTGGAGGTAAGACCGCTCACCTCATTCCTTCTCAGGCACTGCTGCAGGCTTGGCAAAAGCACAGTGAAGACGTTCTGGTCTGGATAATGATGTATTTCAGAAGAAGTTTTCTCCGTCTCTCGGCTGTCTGTGTGGCTCCAGGCGGACCTGCGCAGTGCACGGCTGGAGGTAGCGAGAACAGTGGCCAGCGCTCGACAAGCATCGCTGCATGTTAGCCTGGTTTCCCCCATTCCAATCTCTCCGTCTCTCCCTCTCTCTGGCTGTGCGTCTCCAGGCGGATCTGCGCAGTGCACGGCTGGAGGCAGCGAGGGCGAGGGCTGCTCTGGAGGCGCAGGAGCACAGATGCGCTGGACTGATGGAGGATGTGAGTGCTGCTGGTAACGTGGTAACAGAGGTGACTTGTGAGTTTGACTTAAAGGCGAGCGCTGCTCTGGAAGCTCAGGAGCACAGATGTGCTGGACTGATGGAGGATGTGATGTGAGTGGTGCTGGTAACGTGGTCATGTATCTCTGATCTCTGGACTAACGTATGTGCTGGTTTCGTTGTATGGTAACATATCTTTGATCGCTGGAGTAACATATCTCTTTGAATTAAGTGATCAGGCAACCAGCCAGGTCTGATTCATTTGTTTATTCGCATGAAGAAAATTGCCAGTGTCCATTCTCTTTGAGCGACTATTCCTCTACTTGTCGTACAGCCTCTTTGTCACCATCTTCCCATGCACACTCCCCTCCCCTCTCATTCCCGCTCTTCTCCCGTCTCTCCCCTCCCCTCTCATTCCCGCTCTTCTCCTGTCCCTCCCTTCCCCTCCCCTTCCCTCCCCTCCCTTTCCCTCCCCTCCCCTTCCTTCCTCCCTACGCACAACCCCTCAGGTGAGGCGCCTGGAATCAGACAGGGCAGTCCTGAAGAAGCAGGTGGACGGGTTCGCATCTCAGCTGCTCCCATCCTCCCTTCTGCCCCCCTCCTCTCCCTGTCCCCCCATTCGCGTGCTCGCTTTTCCTCCCCACCCCTCCTAACAACCCCTCAGGTGCGGCGCCTGGAGTCGGACAGGGCGCTCCTGAAGAAGCAGGTGGACGCGTTCACGTCTCAGCTGCACCCATTCTCGCTGCTGCCCCTCCCCCGCCCTTCTTCTCCTCTCCCGTCCCCTCCGCACATGACATCCTCCCAGGTGCGGCGGCTGGAATCAGACAGGACGCTGTTGAAGAAGCAGGTGGACGCGTTCGCGTCTCAGCTGCACCTCACCAACTCGCAGCTGGCTCAGGCGCAGGCGGCTCTGCAGGCAGCAGAGGAGCAGAACAATGCGCACTCCAACCAGGTGCGTGGCTGATAATTTACTTTCACCAGATAGCACTGTTTAGCCGAGGCAGCAGTGGGACTAGGCGTGTTCGCGTCTCAGCTGCACCTCACCAACTCGCAGCTGGCTCAGGCGCAGGCGGCTCTGCAGGCAGCAGAGGAGCAGAACAATGCGCACTCCAACCAGGTGCGTGGCCGGTCATGCCTTGCCTAACCTCTTCCACCTGTCTATTGATCAAACCAGAGGCCATTGCAGGCAGCAAAGGCGATCAGGCAGTGCATGCAGTCGATGCATTGCAGGGACAACGCGCCAATGCCCTGCATCTGTTCTCCTTACTCTCTTGCCTTCCTTCCCCCATCCTCATCCGTCTCCCCTTTTCTCGTGCCTTTCCTCCCCCCGTCCTGAACTGAATCCCCATCCGTCTTCCCTGTGCTGTGTGGCCCTCCCTCCCACCATCCCCGTCCCCATGCCTCAGTCGGAGGAGCAGGCAGCAGCGATGCGCAAGGCAGTGGAAGCAGCAGGCATTGAGAGGGATGCGGCTGTGCTTGCCAAGGTACTCTTTCTTGTATTGTAAACAGGCTATTTTTGAGACGTGTAAACAACGCCTCAAAAATAACCTGTTTACACGCGGCTGTGCTTGCCAAGGTACTCTTTCTTTCTTTCGTTCTTTTTTGTTGATGTTTAATCCTTTGCTCGTTATTGGATCTTTTCCATTCACTAGTGCAATGTAGGTAGGTAGTGCTGCTGTGCTCGGAACAGGTGCCATACTCCAGCCTCCTCTCTCCAAGGAGTGTAAGATGCTCGTACAAGGAGTGGATGGGCTTGGTACTGCATGTTATGCAGGGGGCAACTGAGTCGACTCAAAAGTCAAAGTCACCTTTTGAGTCGACTCAAAAGTGTAAGATGCTCCTACAAGGAGTGGATGGGCTTGGTACTGCATGTTATGCAGGGGGCAACTGAGTCGACTCAAAAGTCAAAGTCACCTTTTGAGTCGACTCAAAAGTGTAAGATGCTCCTACAAGGAGTGGATGGGCTTGGTACTGCATGTTATGCAGGGGGCAATTGGGTAAGCGTCTAAGGGCACTTGCTGCTGTTGTTGCCTCCTACTGTTCCCTATCGTCTCGGTCTCATCTGCTCTCCCCCTTTCCCCACACCTCCCCTTCTTTTTGGAGCAGGAGGACCTTGCATCGCAGGTGCGGGTGCTGAAGAGACGACTTCAGGGCTGATGCTGTTGTTACCTCCCTTACCTGTGGCTCCGTGCCTCCCCTTCCCTCGCCTTCCACTCCCTCCCTCCCCTCTTTGGAGCAGGAGGACCTGGCATCACAGGTGCGGGTGCTGAAGAGACGACTGCAGGAGGCAGAGGAGGAGCAATGCAAGGTAACTAGAGGGAGCTTAGTGCAATGTCAAGGTAACTAGAGCGAGCTCAGTGCAATGCAAGGTAACTAGAGGGAGCTTAGTGCAATGTCAAGGTAACTAGAGCGAGCTCAGTGCAATGTCAAGGTAACTAGAGGGAGCTCAGTGCAATGTCAAGGTAACTAGAGGGAGCTCAGTGCAATGTCAAGGTAACTAGAGGGAGCTCAGTGCAATGTCAAGGTAACTAGAGGGAGCTCAGTGCAATGTCAAGGTAACTAGAGCGAGCTCAGTGCAATGTCAAGGTAACTAGAGGGAGCTCAGTGCAATGCAAGGTAACTAGAGGGAGCTCAGTGCAATGTCAAGGTAACTAGAGGGAGCTCAGTGCAATGTCAAGGTAACTAGAGGGAGCTCAGTGCAATGCAAGGTAACTAGAGGGAGCTCAGTGCAATGTCAAGGTAACTAGAGGGAGCTCAGTGCAATGTCAAGGTAACTAGAGGGAGCTCAGTGCAATGTCAAGGTAACTAGAGGGAGCTCAGTGCAATGTCAAGGTAACTAGAGGGAGCTCAGTGCAATGTCAAGGTAACTAGAGGGAGCTCAGTGCAATGTCAAGGTAACTAGAGGGAGCTCAGTGCAATGCAAGGTAACTAGAGGGAGCTCAGTGCAATGTCAAGGTAACTAGAGGGAGCTCAGTGCAATGTCAAGGTAACTAGAGGGAGATCAGTGCAATGCAAGGTAACTAGAGGGAGCTCAGTGCAATGTCAAGGTAACTAGAGCGATCTCACTAGGAGCGCCTCTGTGCAAGGTAACAGCGGGCATTGGCAATGGGGAGCAGTAGAGAGCTGCTGGTTAGTAGCATGGATGGTCTGTCTGTCGCATGCGGTCCATCATTGATACTGAGGAGGGGTTTGTACCTCGTGGTAGCAGCAGAGCTGAGAACGTGTGTGATAAGTCGAGTTTTGAGTCGACTCAAAACTTGCATGCGGTCCATCATTGATACTGAGGGGTTTGTTTGTACCTCGTGGTAGCAGCAGAGCTGAGAACACTGCAGCATTTAACAGAGGCCATAGTGGATCGGGCAGGTGTGGCGTGTGCCCACTCCGTTTCTTTCTTCCCTTCCCTTCCTCCCTCCATTTCCCACCATTTGCAGGCAGAAGAGGCATCGGCCGCATTAGCAGCAGAGCTGAGGGCGCTGCAGCACTCCACAGAGGCCACAGTGGATTGGGCCGGCTCAGCGGGATAATTATTTTCTCCCTCTTTCCTCTGTGTTCCTCCTTCCATACTATCCTATTTCAGGCAGAAGAGGCATCGGCGGCGCTAGCAGCCGAGCTGAGGGCGCTGCAGCACTCAACAGAGGCCACAGTGGATCGGGCAGGTGCGGCATTTGCTCCCGACCCTGACCAGCTCAGGGTTGCTGAAGCTGCCAGAGATGCCGCCAAGGCTGAGCTGCAGGTACGGAACAGGCGGGGAGGGGCACGGAGAGAGGCTGACTTGAATTTGGTTTGTGCGCAAGATCTATGGTCACTTGAAAGCCTCTTTGTAGTGACTCCAATGCATGGTCTTGATTGCAAAGATCACCACGAACCTACCTAACCTCTTGTTCCAATACTTATCTGCCCACCACAGGACCTGCGCCAGGAACTGACAGGCATGCGGCAGCAGCTGATAGCTGAGACGCAGAGGGCGGCATGAGATGCCTACTATGCCCGTATGCCTATTTTCCCTCTCGCAACCCCTCTCCTTCATCCCACCACACAGGACCTGCGCCAGGAACTGACAGGCATGCGGCAGCAGTTGATAGCGGAGAGGCAGAGGGCGGCATGAGATGCCTATTATGCCCGTATGCCTATTTTCCCTCTCGCAACCCCTCTCCTTCATCCCACCACACAGGACCTGCGCCAGGAACTGACAGGCATGCGGCAGCAGCTGATAGCGGAGAGGCAGAGGGCGGCAACGGCTACTGGAGGCAAGGAGGCTGTTGAGAAGCAGCTGGCAGTGGTGCAGGCAAAGCTGAAGGTGGGTGGGGCAAGGGGGAGGGGGAAGCTCTGGGTGAAGAATGATTGGTGGTAGGTGCATTTGAAAAGTGGGTGGAGAGTAGGCAAGGCCAGTCTGCGTTTCCTTTCTTTTGTTTTTTGCTTGTAAACTGCTTTCATGGTGTTCCTTTTTTTTTTCTTCTTCTTCTTCTTCTTCTTCTTTTTCTTCTTCTTCTAACTTCAGGAGGCATTGGAAGCAGAGGAGAGGCTCAAGATCCATGCCAAGGTGGAGGTTCGACAAGAGGTGGAAGGGGACCTCAGGTCCGACATCGAGGCTGAGGTTCGGCAGAAGCTGGAAGCGGAGGTCCGGGAAGCAGCTGAGGCTGAGACTCGGAAGAAAATGGAATCCGAGGTTCGGCAGGACGTCGAGGGGAAGGTTCGGAAAGAGCTTGAAACGGAGGTTCGGGAGAAGTTGAAGGCAGAGGTTCGGGAGGAGCTAGGAGCAGAAGCTGGGAGAAATGCTGTGGAGGTCTTAAAGCCCAGCAGTCAAGGATCGGTGGGATCGGTAGATGTGGGAACTCAAGTGATATCTGTGAGCGAGGAGGCTCGGAAAGAGATTGAAGCAGCCGCTGTAGCTCGGATGCGACAGGAAATGGAAGAAGAGATTCGGAAGGAGCTTCGGAACGAGTTTGAGAAGCAGATTTGGGAAGAGGTGACTGAGAAGGTTCGGGAGGAGGTGCGGAAGGAGGTAGAATTGGAGTTGAAAAAGTCTAAGGGCGATTCTGAGGGTGCTTCGACTGCTGCTGCTGCTGGTGGAGCTGGTGGTGGAGTTACGGTTGAGAGTGGTGGAGAGGGTGTAGGGGACAATGAGAGAACGGAGGTGGAGGGTAAAGGTGAAGATGTGGGAGGTGGAGGAGAAAGAGAAGGAGCAGGAGCAGGGGCAGGAGAAGGGGCAGGAGCAGGGATCGGAGAAGGGGTGGGAGCAGGGGCAGGAGCAGGGGGGGGAGAATTGGCGGGAGCAGGGGGAGGAGAGGCAAGTGAAGCAGTGGGGCAGTCTACTGAAGAGCTTGCACGATTGAAGGCAATTTGCCATTCCTTTCTTCCCCGCTCTAATGGCTGCCTGGTTCTTATTACGCTCGCACGCATGCAATGGGACGAGTTCTGAGTCTTCGTTTTGGACTCTCTCAAGAGTTTTGCTTGAGCGCATTCAGACTCAGCTTGTCTGCTGCGTTCTCAGGTCATAGAAAAGCTCTACATGCGGAGTGAAACTTTTGGATTTCAAGAAAAAATACAATTCCGGAAGTCATTTCTGCGTCTCACCGCTGGAGTACGGGGGGGGAGAGCAGAGGCGAAGTCGGGGGCTTTAATGCAGGACCAAGCTAAGGCTTAAGGTTCCGCTTCTGCCTTTTTCTGCTTCTGCTTCTGCTGCACCCATGGCCATGGCAGGAGGACGCGGAGAAAGCAGAGGAGGAGCGGGGTCAGCTGCAGCAGCAGTTGGAGAAGCTACAGGTGTCGCTGGCTAAGAAGGAGAAGGCACGGCTGAGACTGCTGTCTGAGGTGAGTGCTCCTTCAGGCAAGGTGTGTCATGCAGTTGAGTTATGCAGCAGCAGCAGTTGGAGAAGCTGCAGGTGTCTCGGCTCGGGCTAAGGAGAAGGCACTGTTGAGACAGCTGTCTGAGGGTAACGATTGAGACTGCTGGCTGTCTGAAATGTGTGCTCCTCTAACCGAGGGGATGTTTTATTTGACACAGCAGTAGAGACGGTGACCTAAGTTGGCTGCAGCAGTTTGTGAAGCTGCTGGCTGCTGCTCGTCGACTTTCTTTCAGAGGCCCAGCATCGCTTCTTCTAATCACATTCTGTACTCATCGCTTCCTGGATTGTACTATTTATATCACAACCATCCCATTCCTGCCGTCCGTCCACGAACGCCCTTCAGGTGGATTCCCAGTCGCTGCAGATAGAGAGACTATTCGCGGAGAATTCAGGGCTGGCAGCGGGGCTCAAGGAGGTCTCTGCCATTGCCGCCCGCTGGGAGGCTCAGGTGAATGCAACAAGGCACTCAGGTGGGAACAACAGAGGCTCAGGCTGGGGCAATAGAGACTCAGGTGGGGACAACAGAGGCTCAAGCAGGGGCAATGGAGACTCAGGTGGGGACAACAGAGGCTCAGGTGAGTGCAGCAGTAGCTTAGGTGGTGAGTGCAACAGAAACTCAATCTCAGGTCTGTGAAAGTAGCAAATTGAACAAGTAACTTCATTAGAGGAGAAACCTAGCATACATGGTTGGAAGAGAGGCTTGGAAGAGAAAGGAGAAGGTGACCATAGGTTGGGTTGACCTCACTTGGGGGAGTGAGGCAACCATGGGTCAAGTGGGTTGGGTTGCCCACACTTTGTAGAAGTGAGGCAACCCTAGGCCCACTTGGCTTGAGATGACCTCACTTGTGGGAAGTGGGGCACCCATAAGCCAAGTGGGTTGCATTTGGGGGCTCCACCACAATTGGGTGGATTGGCACCCCAAAGTGCAAGACTACACCCAAAGTTGGGTGTAGTCCCAACCCAACTGTACACCACAATTGGTGTACAGTCACATGTGTTGGCATGCTACACAACATATATTTTAACAAGGTCCGCGCAGCAGAGGCTAAAAAAAAAAAAAAAAAAAGGTGGTGAGAGCAACCGGGGCTCTGGTATAATGCAACAGAGCGCAACAAAGAAGACTTGTCGTTTTTCTTTTCACTGACCACCTCTGCCAGTCAAGCCATAATAGACTGCGACTTTGCCATGACGTTTTCCCTGCTGTTTTATTGGTGTTTTACCCAACTGGTTTGTGGTGTATCCGTAGTTTCTTCGTTTACCCTCTTTTGTTACGTCCTTTATTTCCAACATATTGCGCCCGTCGTCCCTTTTCTTCCTCCACGTTTTATATTTATAAATATGTGCATAATTCAAAAACTCGCTGCGAAAGTTGCAGTTTGTTTTTTTATTGCGAGAACTCACTAAGACTTTTCAAAAACACACTAAGAAATATCAGAAGCGCACTAATATTTCTCAAGAGAACAATAAGAATTCTAAAAAACACCTCATAAGCCCATGTAGATTACTACCAGTCAACCCAAAAGCTCGTTGCGACAGTTTTCCCCTTGTCCTCCTTTCCTTCTGCTTCCGCTTTCAGGTGCGCGCATGGCAGAAGCTGCAGAGCGAGCAGCAGCAGGAGCAGATGGACAGCGGCAAAGGGGCAGCAACAGCAGCAGGTGCAGCAGCAGGAGCAGGAGCAGCAGCAGGAGCAGGAGCAGGAGCAGCAGCAGGAGCAGCCTCATCAGCAGAAAAGACAGAAGCAACAGGGGAGTTATCAGGAGAAGAGAAAGGAGGGGTGGGAGGAACAGGAGCAGCAGCAGGAGGAGTAAGAGCATCAGGGGCGGTGGGTCCGGGGTTAGGAGACACGGACACAGAGGCAGACACGGATGATCAAGAGCTGCCAGTCTCCACCTCCCCCAGACAGCACCTGGAGCTGCCACCAGTAAACACCTCCCCCAGGCAACTTCTGGAAGTGCCACCGTTTTCTGGTGCTGGGACCTCAGCAAGTGGGGAAGAGAATGGGGAGGTGGTGGTGGGTCTGCAGGGGGATGGCGTGAAGATGGAGGGGTCAGGAGCGGTGGAAGGTGGTGGAGAGGAAAGGGCAGGGAAGGAGGATGGGGAGAAGGAGGAGGTCGGGGATGGGGCTAGAGGTGGGGAGGATGGGGGAGTGGGACAGAGGAGGGGAGTGGGTGTGGAGGTGATTGGAGGGAAGTCTATGGAAGTTCTGGAGGAAGAGAACAGGAAGCTTAAGGTGAGACAAGGGAAAGTTAAATAAGCGTTCGGAAAATTGCCTGTTGAAATGAACAAAGTGCCACGCAATGGAAGTTTTGGAGGAAGAGAACAGGAAGCTTAAGGTGAGACAAGGGAGGTCGAGTAAGCGTTTGATTAAGTGTTTTCAAAATGAGCTAAGTGTTTAGCTCGATGGAGGTGCTAGTGGAAGCCAACAAGAAGCTCAAGGTGAGAGAAGCGGAACTTACTTAAGTGTTTCAATCAGCTATTTCTCTGGGAGTTTTGGAGGTGCTGATTGAAGAGAGCTTGGAGCTCAAGGTCCTAAGCAGTGAGAGTGGAGATTGGTAATTACCTTGATACCATCGTTGTACCATAATAATACCACTATGTTCTCACGCTTTTCCTTCCATCCCTTGCTATTCTCACGCTTTTCCTTCCATCCCTTGCTACCCTTTTCCACCCTCACAGCCACCTATCTCTGCTCCTGTCTACCCGTGACCCGTCTCTACCCATCTCTGAACCTCACTGCCCCTCTCTGCCCCTCTCTGCCCCTCTCTGCCCCTCTCTGCCCCTCTCTGCCCCTCTGCCCCTCTCTGCCCCTCTCTGCCCCTCTCTACAACAGGACGAACTCACCGCCGCCCAGCACCGCATCCGCCAGCTGTCAGTGCAGGCACTGCGCTCCGATGCCAGTTGCACCACAGCCGTCCAGAGGCTCTCGCAGACCAAGCGGATGTGAGTAGTGTTCTGTGCTGCTGTGCTGGTGGTGTATGTGTTAGTCAAAAGGTGGGTCCACAGGCGCTGCGCTGCGCTCCAATGCCAGTTGCACCACGGCGGTGCAGAGGCTCTCGCAGACCAAGCGGATGTGAGTAGTGGCAGTGTGCTGTGCTGGTAGGGGTAGGGCAAAATTTGAGTAGAGAGGTGGTAGTGTAGTGGTGGTAGTAGTTACGGGAAGAAGGGAGCAGAGGCACTGCCTTTCAGCCAGCTGTCAGTGCGCGCGCTGCACTCCAATGCCAGCTGCACCACGGCTGTCCCAGACCAAGCGGATGTGAGTAGTGGCAGTGTGCTGTGCTGTGCTGTGCTGTGCTGCTGCTGCTGCTGCTGCTGGTTGCTCTGCTAGTGGTGGCAGTGATGGTAGTAAGAAGGTGGATCCACTGATGCTGCCCTCCAGTGCCAGCTGCACCACGGCCGTGCAAGCTGGTGAGCACTGTGGGAGGCTCTCTCCCAGGCCAAGCGTCTGCGAGTGGTCCCACGGCCTTGTCCTTCCATCCTACTGTTATTCCCTTTTGAGAATTCTCGAAACAAACCCAACTCCCAACCCGTGGCACTACTTTCGCTTCTTCACCACCACACGCTCTCGCCTTGCTTCCTCCTGCCCTGCCTTACTTCCGTTCTTCCTCCATCCTTTTGTTGCTCCTTAGAAGATTCCGGGAAAGCTGGGCTCATTTTGACAAGTTTGCACCATTTTGTGGATGGGTTTCTTTCAGGTATGGCCCTCTGTTGAGCAGCATCGAGCAGAAGCTTCTCCAGTACAAACAGGAAGCTTCCCTGCAAGGTCATGTGTGAAGCACCCTTACCCAGTAAACTACGTCAGCTACATCATACTGGTAACTTCCCATAAAAAACACAGTCACTTTATCCCCATTCACTACTAAAACTCTCGTCTAATTTTCTTCCAAAAACAGTGATGATTTCTCAAGCCTTGCAATTCTTCCTCCATGCCAAGCCATGCTGCCCCGCTCCGAGTCTGTCCAGCAATGGTAGCTGCCGAAACCAATCCACGTCACTTAGGGCCTGCCACGTCATCACAGCGCCACGTCATCACAGCGCCACGTCATCACATCGCACCAACCACAGTGATTTTCTGGTTATTTGGCAGTGGCCAATACCCAAGGTGAATATTTTAGACAAGCAGTTTATCTCGCCAAGAACCCCTAATTTGGCACTGGTATATCGACAGGGGACGCCGGGATGAGGAGAGGGGGGGGACGAAAAGGGAGATGGGGGAAACTGAATGCAGGGACGAAACGAAACAGGAGACCTAGAGGGAGGATGAGGTACCCCCCTGTCACAACCTCTTCAGTACGAGTTTGATGTTGCTGTGTCAAGTCAACCCACCTGCTGCAGCACTCGCATCTTTCCCTCCAGGCCGAGACAGCAGTTGGCATGAACAGTGACCAGCCGCCCCAGCAGCCGCCCAATCTGGCAGAAAATGCCAAAGCGGTCCGCCGGCAGGTAGTGGACGGAGAGACGGAGGGTGTCGCGGGTGTATGGGTCTGCCTCGGGGCGCACTCGCGTGAATGCATCCTGGTCGTGAATGCCAGGAAAGCTGTAATGGGGGAGGGGAGTTGAGTGAAGGGAGAATAACACAAGCAGTGGATAAAGAGACGGAGCGTGTCGCGAGTGTATGGGTCTGCCTCGGGGCGCACTCGCGTGAATGCATCCTGGTCGTGAATGCCGGGGAAGCTGATAAGGGGTGGAAGGGGGAAGGGTGGAAGGGGGAAGGGGGGAAGTTGGAAAAGGGGGATGGGGGGAAGCGTATAATGCATGGAGAGATGGGAGAGTATCACGGGTGTATGGGTCGGCTTCGGGGCGCACCCACATGAACGCGTCCAAGAATCTCTTGTTTTGAGAATTCTCAATAAACATTTTATTCATAGGCTGTTTCAAAGATTCACTTCTTCAGGCCGCACCCGCATGAACGCGTCCTGGTCATGAATCCCAGGGAAGGTGAAGATGGCTTACCGGGTGTGAGCGTTGAGCCAGTAGTCAAAGAATCGCAACACACGGCCGTTGCTGCGAGCCATGTAGAACCCCCCATTGGCTGCTGCTGCTGCTGCCTTGGGGTCCGAAAGAGGAGAAGGTAAAGGGCTTACCGGGTGGAGGAGAGGAGAGTCTTACCGGGTGTGTGCATCGAGCCAGTAGTCAAAGAATCGCAATACGCGGTCGTTGCTGCGAGCCATGTAGAAGCCCCCATTGGCTGCTGCCGCCTTGGGGTCTGCTGACCAGCGATCGCACGCTATGAGCATGTCGGATGAGACGTTGAGCAGGTGGGGAAGGGGGTTCTGGTAGTAGGGGGTGGAAGGAAGGAAGTACAGAATCTACTAACACGACACCCCGTCTTCTGCTTTGGGTTCGTCTTACCAGCGACCACAGGCTATTAGGATGTTGGATAAGATGAGACGGGGAGCAGAGCAGAGCAGGTGCAGAAAGGGGTTTTGATGGAGGGGAGCAGAGCAGACAAAAGAGGTCAGCAGATAAGCGGTCAGCCGATAAGTGGTCACAGGCTGCTACGATCGACCGTGAAGTAGAAGTTGTTTTTCTTTTATATATATATCATATGTTGAGAGACATCTTAAGCGAATCTAATTGCACAAGGCGCTGGCAATTACATGCACAACTGTATCCACGTGGCGTCACTGCCACCCACCTGCATCCACGTCACTGCCACCCACCTGCATCCACATGACGTCATTGCCACCCACCTGCATCCACGTCATTGCCACCCACCTGTAGCCACATGACGTCATTGTCAGTAAAGACCACATCGAGTTTTAAAGACAAGATTTGCTTGATGACATGCAGTCGTCTCCACATCTGGACAGAGTGGGAAGGATAAAAACGAAGACGCAATGAGAAGAGATGAGGAGAGATGCGGAGAGACTAGTAGAGATGAGGAGAGATGAGTAGAGATGAGTAGAGATGAGGAGAGATGAGTAGAGATGAGTAGAGATGAGTAGAGATGAGTAGAGATGAGTAGAGAGTAGAGATGAGGAGAGATGAGTAGAGATGAGTAGAGATGAGTAGAGATGAGTAGAGATGAGTAGAGATGAGTAGAGATGAGTAGAGATGAGTAGAGACAACGAGAGTATTTACAAGAACAGGGGGGAGTGGGCAGAGATGTGGCACAAAATCACGAGGGCAATAATAGGCAAAAAGCATCAGGTGCGACTACATGTATCTCTTAAGATACTGCCCGCCCGCCCGAAAAAAGCATCAGTATCTCTTAAGATACTGCCCGCCCGCCCGAAAAAAGCATCAGTATCTCTTAAGATACTGCCCGCCCGCCCGAAAAAAGCATCAGTATCTCTTAAGATACTGCCCGCCCGCCCGAAAAAAGCATCAGTATCTCTTAAGATACTGCCCGCCAAAAAAAGAACAGTACCAGGTGCAGATAGGAAGGGGTCATAAATTTCTTCTGCTCTCCACTGAAGTCGTCCCTCTCACTCTTCGGAACATCCTCCTGCCCACAAAAGGGATGAGAGGCCATACCAGGTGCAGATAGGAGTGGTGGAAGGGGGGGGAGGGGGGAGACGGGGGGTGGGTTGAAAACAAAAAGACTCCTCGAGCTGACACCTTGTAAAGTGAGAGGTGAAGTCACTCATTGAGTCGACTCAAAAAGAGGTGAAGTCACTCATTGAGTCGACTCAAAAAGAGGTGAAGTCACTCATTGAGTCGACTCAAAAAGAGGTGAAGCAGAGGCAAAGTCAGCATACACGCCTAGACTACTGCTGGTTCGCTGGCCAGCCAGCCACACGCACCTGTGAGTCGAGGAAGCAGTGCAGGCGCAGAGAGCAGCAGAAGGCCAGGCTGCGGTGGTCGTAGCAGATCACCAGCAGCCGAGACACCAGCGTGCGTGGCATTTCAAGCCTGTGCCCCATGCCTTGCATATCGAAATCTGACGGTGTGGATTCAGCTGCTGCACCTCCCAAGTGCTCCTCCTGCTCCTCCTGCTGCTTCTGCTGCTGCAGTTGCTTCTTCTGTGAATTCGTCTCCTGCTCCTCTCTCTCATCGACCAGTCTCATCCTCGTTAAGAACATCTTCATCATGGGAATACACGCCTCTGACAAAACCGTCACTATCACCACGCCACGCCCCGACTCCCCTTCCTCTGCTACCACTCGTACCTCCTCTGTCTTGTCCCTTGCCATCCTTTCAGTACTTCCAGCGTTGCTGCTGTTTCTGCTGCTGCTTGTGCTGCTGCTGCCAGCAGTGCTGCTGTTTGTATAAGCAGCGGCTTCTGCTGCGCGTGGAACCTGTGGTGCCACGTCAGATGCTAGCTGCTTGCGTGTCATTGGAGGCGGCGTTCCTGCTGACGTGGCCAGGTCGGTAAGAACCTCCTCTAGGCTCCTGCCACGTTTCCAGTCAAACCAGTCAAGCGACTTCTGAGGCGCCTCAAAAGCCACGTTTTCAGCCAGACCAGTCAAGCGATTCAACCACAGGAGGCATTTGAGAATTCTCAAAAGTCAAACCAACACTCCTGCCACGTTTTCAGCCAAACCAGTCAAGCGATTCAACCACAAGAGGCAAGAGAGGCAGAAAAAGAGGGACGAGGACAGGGGTGGGGGGTGTGAGTGTGAGGGAAGGAGTTATGTCTCATACAATTGCCTTGTCCTAGAACACGAGTAATGATTCAAATAATTTGATCCGTCTCCCGCTGCCACCACCCCTTCGTCCCCTCCTCCCTCACTGCCGCCCCTCCCTCCACCACCACCACCAACACTGCCATCACCGTCCCCCAACCCGTTCCCCCAACCACCTTCCCCATAGTTCCTCTTCTCCCCCACCCCCTGCGCCCCAGACCCCTCGGCAGCAAGCTGTGCGGCAGCAGTAGGCGGGGGGAGCGGAGAAGGGGGCGCAAGGTGGGGGATGGCGAGGAGGGGGAGGATGATGAGCAACGAGAGGAGGAAGAGGAGAGAGTTGCTGAAAAAGGTTGGGGTTATTCTTAGTCTGAACAGGGCGTGGTGAGAGGGATGGGAGGGATGAGAGGGATGAGAGGGATGAGAGGGATGAGAGGGATGAGAGGGATGAGAGGGATGAGAGGGATGAGAGGGATGAGAGGGATGAGAGGGATGAGAGGGATGAGAGGGATGAGAGGGATGAGAGGGATGAGAGGGATGAGAGGGATGAGAGGGATGAGAGGGATGAGAGGGATGAGAGGGATGAGAGGGATGAGAGGGATGAGAGGGATGAGAGGGATGAGAGGGATGAGAGGGATGAGAGGGATGAGAGGGATGGGAGGGATTAGATTCGTTTAGAGTGACAGGAAGGTGCCCGTTGTTATAGGGAGCGAGAAAGCAAGACCTGAGGCGGTCCCCAAGGGCAGGAAGAAAAGGGAGGGAGGAGGGGAGCGAGGAGGAGGAGGAGGAGGAAGAGGAGGCGGATGGCGAGGCGGGAGGCGAGGTGGGAGTTGGGGCGGGTGGAGAGGCAGGAGAGGATGCAGCAGTGTCCTCACACTGCTGCCCGGGTGGGGCGGGTGGAGAGGCAGGAGAGGATGCAGCAGTGTCCTCACACTGCTGCCCGGGTGGGGCGGGTGGAGAGGCAGGAGAGGATGCAGGGGCTGGGGAAGGAACCAAGAGGGAACGAGCAGCAGTGTCCATCTGCTGACGAGCAGCTTTCATCCTGCTAGAGTCTTCGGAACTGCACTCGTTGGTATCTACTGCTGCGCTGCTGCTGCTGCTGCTGTTGTTGCCATGCGAGCTACTATGAGGTTCGGAGCTAGGCACGTCTGACGACGACCAACGAATCTGGGTTTGGGACGGAGGTGGCAGCAACTGAAACGCCACGTTTGGGGTTGTGATTGGACTCCTCGATCAACGGTGGGAAACGGCATCGCCGCGAGAACCGAAACTTCGAATCCGAGTTTTGTATCCGATTTTTAAGGCTCTCAGACTGAAAGAAGGCGGATTTCTTGAAAGAGCGCAGCCACCCGAGAATTGATCGCGATGTGGGAGGTCGACGAGGTTCAGAAAACAACAAGGCCGTTTTGCAACTAATGTTGCATCTACGCCACGTGGCAACTGACGCGCGGCGGGAGGAAACGGGACCAGAGGGCACGTTTCACTCCGCGGGAAGTCGCTATTAATGTCGAATAGGGTTACCAGCAGGCGAAGAACTAATTCTTCGGTGTGTGGTGTAATACGCGAATGATAAAATTCGACCATGACTGGTGCTGGACTGCTGGGACTGCATGTTGTAGGTATCGTAAATATTAGGTTTCTCCCAGCTTTCGTAAGAAATCAGAGTTCCTCCCAGCGTTGGCTGGATTACCTCGGCTCGGGTTGAATCCAGAGGCTTACACGGGTACGCGTTGTTGCGGTCCCTGGATTGGGTATAACTGGATTTTTGTCAGAATTGCGTACTCGTTATGGAAAACACTATATGTCGAGTAGTGATATTTGTGAGGAGTCCTACTGCAAATCCAGAATCAAAATCTTCAGGTCAGGGAGAGGTGGCTTTCCTCAGCAGTAATAGGGTCTGCCCGTACTGCAACAACGATGAAACTTTGGACCACTGCCTCTTCTCCTACCCCGGGCAATCACGTGGTCACCTAGGCCATCCTGCATGCATTACGCATGATAAACCTGTCAGAGGTCTACTGGAGATCCCCGATTGATTTTAGGGAAGGGTTACTGACACGTTGGCCTGGGGGGTTATGGGTGCACTCACCCGCTACACAAACAAGTCATTTTATCCCATGAGTTAGTGGCTGGGATTCTGACAAAACCCATCGCCGAGGTGTGGGAGGGGTGAGTCAATTGTGAGACTGCTGTTTTGTCCATGCCTTTGTTTCTCCGAAGCACCCTCATTACCCAGGGCTGATTTTATCAGGGTAATTACCCTGATTTCAGGGTGATTACAGGCTTCTCACATGGTGGTCCCTGAAAGTTCAGAATTTCTGACTTGTGAACACTGATCCATTCAGAATAGTGCTTTAGCGAACCCTGAAATATTGTATCTAGACTTAGAGTAGAGTTCTTACTGACTCTGTCAATGTAGAGTACGCGTTCTGTGGACTCTGAATTTGACCTTATCGGAAGGAAGTTTCCCGGAAATTTCCTTCCGATAACCCCGCCTTCGGATTGGTCGTAGTACAGCAAGAGCGTGAGCACCGCGGCAACATGTCTGACAGGTGAATACACTCTACGTATGTTAGTGTCACTGAATTCGAAGATGTCGGTCGTATTGTCGCAATTACGTGTGCGTGAAGTTATCAACACATTTTTTGCGTTTCGCACAATGAAGTTGG